CCCTGCAAAGCTGTCTTTGGTGGGAGAGATTTGCATCAGTAGAGAAAATCTTCACTGATGCAGGCCTTCTCTTCTTTAGATTTAGGAGTCTAAATTAACTGAGATTAACTGAGACTCTGACAAATTTAAAGGTCTGAAAGAAGTATTTACCATCAATTCTCTCTGAGGGCTGCTACCTGTGAGATTTCATCTACCTAACAAGACCACTTACGCTAGCCAGGCCTCATCTTTTCCCCCTCTCATAACATGTCTTGCCACTAAAACCTGCTTACCACAATAACCTGTTTTTGGCCATGCCCTGAGTTCCCATTCATTTTGTAACCTCAAGATAGTATGGGCCAGGCATGGTGGTTCACGCCTATAATCCCAGCACTTTGGGAGACTGAGGCAGGCAGATCACCTGAGGTCAGGAGTTTGAGACCAGCCTGGCCAACATGGTGAAACCCCATCTCTACCAAAAACTACAAAAATTAGCCAGGCATGGTGGCACACACCTGTAGTCCCAGCTACTCAGGAGACTGAGGCAGGAGGATCACTTGAATCTAGGAGGTGGAGGTTGCAGTGAGCTGAGATTGCATCACTGTGCTCCAGCCTTGGTGACAGAGTGAGACCCTGTCTCAAAACAAAAAAAAAGATGGTATGTAAGCTCCTATACTCCATTGGGAGGTTAGGGTAACTGTGCAGTACTCCCCCACGTGCATGTTAATAAATCTATATGCCTATTCTCCAATTAATCTGCCTTTTGTCAGTTGATTTTTCATTGATCCTTCAGAGGGCAAAGGGGAAGCTTTTCCTTATGTAAAAGAAACTAGACATGAAAGACCACATATTGTATGGTGGTATAATTACATTATGTGAAATGTTCAGGCCAGGCACGGTGGCCTGTAGTCCCAGCACTTTGGGAGGCCGAGATGGGCGGATCGCTTGAGTCCAGGAGTTTGAGACCAGCCTGGGCAACATGGCAAAACTCCATTTCTACAAAAAATACATAAAAATTAGCCAGACTAGGTGGCCCGCATCTGTAGTCCCAGCTACTGGGCAAGGGGGTAGAGGGAACCGAGTCAGGAGGATCGCTAGAGGCCAGGAAGTAGAGGTTGCATGAGCTGTGATTGTGCCACTGTGCTCCAGGCTGGGTGACAGAGCCAGACCCTGCCTAAAAACAAAACACAAAACAAAACAAAACAAAACAAAACACAAAACAAAACAAAACAAAATTTGGAGCAGGCACATGTATAGAAATGTAAAGTAGATACCTACTTGTTTAACTACCCAAAGGGTTCTCCTTGCCCGATACCCGGACAGAGCAGACATATCAAGACAGGGGAATTGCAATACAGAGTTTAATTAATTTACAAAGAGCTTGCTGAAGGAGCGATGGAAGTTTCATTATTACTCAAACCAGTCTCCTGGAAAATTTAGAGACTGGCATTTTTAAGGATAATCTGGTGGGTAGGGGGCCAGGAAGTGGAGAATACTGATTGGCTGTGTCACAGATGAAATCATAGGGGTCAAAGTGCGATTATTCTTCCTGTCCTCTGTTCCCAGGTGAGATCCCAGAACTGGTTGAGCCAGATTACCGACCTGGGTGGGGCCAGCTGGTACATCAGAATGCAGTGTGAAAAATGTCTGGAGCCTGATCTTAGGTTTTACAATAACGATGCTAGCTTTTGGAGCAACTGGGGAGGTTCAAAATCTCATGGCCTGTCTGCATTAATCTTTTGAGATGAAGTCTCACTCCGTCGCCCAGGCTGCAGTGCAGTGGCGTGATCTCGGCTCACTGCAGCCTCCGCCTCCCAGGTTCAAGCGATTCTCCTACCTCAGCCTCCTGAGTAGCTGGGACTACAGGCCCCCACCACCGCTCCCAGCTAGTTTTTGTATTTTTAGTAGAGACGGGGTTTCACCATGTTGGCCAGGCTGGTCTCCAACTCCTGACTTCAGGTGATCCACCTGCCTTGGCCTCCCAAAGTGCTGCGATTACAGGCCTGAGCCACTGTGCGCCCCGACTATCTGCATTAATCTTGAGGTTACTTTGCTAGTGCTGCACAGGCAGTCTGGTCCCCAGGCAAGAAGGGGCTGTGTTAAGGGAAAAGGCTGTTTTCATCTTTGTTTCAAAGTTAAGTTATAAGCTAAATTCCTCCCAAAGTTAGTTTGGCCTATGTCCAGGAATGAACAAGGGCAACTTGGAGATTAGAAGCAAGATGGAGTCAGTTAGGTCGGATCTCTTTCACTGTCATAATTTGCCCATTGCTGTAATTTTTGCAAAGACAGTTTCAGTTGCTTGGGAGGTTGCAGGAAAATGCAGGAGTGATTGCAAATGGGTACAGGGTTTCCTATTAGGTTGATAAAATGTTCTGAAATGGTCTGTGGTGATTGCAAAACTGTAAATATACCAAAACCCATTGAAATGTACACTTTAAATGGGCAAATCATATGACATGTGAATTATCTCTCTCTTTTTTTTTTTAAGAAATATTATCATATACCGTATGTCTATGTGGGCTTCCAGCAACCCTTCTGGCGCTCCTGGAGTGGCCAGATCAGGTAGGACTAAGAATTCATGGCACGGCCTTTTGTATTATCCGACTCCCTCCCTCCCCCCCTCCCTCCCCCCCTTCCTTCCTTCCTTCCTTCCTTCCTTCCTTCCTTCCTTCCTTCCTCTCTCCTTTCCTTCCTTCCATGAACTAGATGCTATCCTAGGCACTGAGCATACAGATATTGACCGAGATCTAATCCTGTCCTCAAAGAGTTCACAACCTCATGATTATCCTCAGCCCCCTGTAGCAAAGGAAACTTTTATTGGGACCACTTCTGTATACCCTGAGCTATGAAGAGTAAATCTAACCTTTCTAAAGTCACATACATCTGCACTTAGTGGGGGCTCAGGTGACGGAGCTCCAGTGCTCATAAGCAAGTGAAACACACAATGTAGATTTAATATCTTGTAGCTCTTTAGTCCTTCTCATCGCCAGGGTGGGTCACAGAATGCCCATAGTGAAGGAAGCCAAGTCTCCTTCCTTTTTGGGTCTCAGGGTCCAGACATTGTGCAGCTGGAAGCTCATTACTGAGACACTCAGCAGCTGCCAGGTGGGCAAACTCCCTATTTGCCACACAGCCAAGCCTGACCACCACTATTGCTGGCTCATGTACCCTTTCCTATAAAGTTGGTGGTTGACAGGGAAGATCCTGGACATTCAGGTCATGGTGCCATCAAGAGCCTGGGGCCATCAACCTCTGCTGTGGTCCTTGATTTCACTCCCTATTCATCTCAGTGTGAAGCTGCCTTCTAACCTGGGGCTGTGTCTTATCTCTGACCCAGCTCTTGCTCATGCATGATGACTGCTCCCTGCCTCCCTGTATTATCCCCAAATGATAGCTGCTATGTCTTGTGGTTGCTTGTGAAATCGCTTTTACAAAATTATAACTGAGGAAATTATGACAGTGAAAGAAATCAGACCTAACCATTTTGCTTCTAACCTTTAAACTGTCCTTGTTCATTCCTGGGCGTAGGTGGAAATAACTTTGGGAAGGAATTCAGTTCATGATTTTACTCTGAAACAAAATTAATAATAGCCCTTTCCCGAAAAGACCCTCTTCTTGCCTGGGGACCAGTCTGCCTTTGCAGGGCTAACAAATTATCTACATGATTCGAAATGACAGTTTAGGGGTCATGCAGTCTCTGACTCCAAGAATCTGAACCTCCTTAAACTGCTCCTAGGGATAACATCACTGTTGTAAGCCTAAGATCAGTGCTTGAGATATCTTGCAGACTCTACACTCTGGGTGGATCAGTTGACACAACCCAGAACCATAATCTGGCTCAACCAGTTCTGCCCTCCCACCCAGGAACAGAAAATAGCACAAAAAACTCACTTCAACCCTCTATGATTCCATCTCCAAGCTGAGCAGTTAGGACTCCCCACTTCCCAAGCCCCTACTTGCCAAATTAAAACTCTGATCCAAAAGAAAGAGAGATCAGACTGTTACTGTGTCTATATAGAAAGAAGTAGACATAAGAGACTCCATTTTGTTCTGTATCTGAGATGCTGTTAATCTGTGACCCTACCCCCAACCCTGTCCTTGCAAGAGACACATGCTGTGGTGACTCAAGGTTTAATGGATCTGGGGCTGTGCAGGGTGTGCTTTGTTAAACAAGTGACTGAAGGCAGTACGCTTGTTAAAAGTCATCACCATTCTCTTAATCTCAAGTACCCGGGGACACAAACACTGCGGAAAGCCGCAGGGACCTCTGCCTAGGAAAGCTAGGTATTGTTCAAGGTTTCTCCCCGTGTGAGAGTCTGAAATATGGCCTCGTGGAAAGGGAAAGACCTGATCCCCCAGCCCGACACCCATAAAGGGTCTGTGCTGAGGAGGACTAGTAAAAGAGGAAAGAAAACCTCTTGGCAGCTGAGATAGAGAAAGACATCTGTCTCCTGCCCATCCCTGGGCAAGTCCCTGGGCAATGGAAAACCCCATTGTATGTTCTATTTACTGAGACAGGAGAAAACCGCCTTAGGGCTGGAGGTGGGATGTACTAGTGGCAAGGCTGCCCTTTATGCACTGAAAATGTTTATGGAGATGTTTGCATATGCACATCAAAGCACAGCACTTTTCCTTAAACTGATTCGTGTCACAGAGATCTTTATTCACATGTCTTTCTGCTGACCTTCTCCCTACTATGATCCTATTGTCCCGCCACTTCCCCTTTTCCAAGATGGTAAAGATAATGATCAATAAATACTGAGGGAACTCAGAGACCGGTGCCAGCGTGGGTCCTCTGTATGCTGAGCGCAGGTCCCCTGGGCCCACTTACTTTGTCTTTGTGTCTCTTTATTTTCTTAAGTCTCTCGTTCCACCTGATGAGAAACGCCCACAGGTGTGGAGGGGCAGGCCACCCCTTCACTTCAACCCTCTATGATTCCATCTCCAAGCTGAGCAATTAGCACTCCCCACTTCCCAAGCCCCTACTTGCCAAATTAAAACTCTGATCCCTGAATGCTCGGAGAGACTGATTTGAGTAATAATAAAACTCCGGTCTCCTGCACAGCCAGGTCTGCGTGAATTACTCTTTCTCCATTGCTATTCTCCTGTCTTGATAAATCGGCTCTGTCTAGGCAGCAGGCAAGGTGAATCCGTTGGGCGGTTACACTTGTGTGCTTATCTTATCTCTCTTGCTGCAATACAGTTTTTGTTAACTGTTGCTTTCTGGTTTGGCCCCTGCCTACTACTGTTTTTGAGGTCTCAGCTTGGACATAGCCTCTGGTTATTCCTGGCCACTTGCTATAAGAACACAAAGTCAATTCTTCCCCCTCTAAGAATCAGTCTTGGTAGGCTTTCACCCATCATTGCTAGTCCGCTGCCTTTGCCAGCTGTGAGCTGCCATCCATCCCAGCCTCCTGTTTCCCCCTTGGAGTCTACTTCAAAAGGTATCTCCCTCTTCCTTAGCATCTTCTCTTAGTGAAGGTGGCTCAGTAAATATTTCTAAAACCTTATGTTTCCCTTAGCAATGCCAGGTCTGTAAAAACTGCTTTCTTTCCTAAAAATACATTTCTGAAGGTACCATCAATGAAGATCTCCGCCTGAAATGACCTTCCTGACAGCAAGTTGTATTTTCCTCAAATGCTTTCCATTCCACATGCTCTTCCAGAAACTTGCCACTCACACATCAGGAAATGGCGTCTCTGTCCCCTTCTTGGAAACTGGGTAGGGCTTTGTGACTGTCTCAACTAGTGGAGCACAGGGGAGGATCTGCTACGGGCCTTTTGAGGCCAGTTTTCAAAAGGCGAGACAACTTTCTCCTGCTCTCTCTTGGGATGCTTGTCCTTGCAACCAGCCACCATGCTGTGAGAGAGTCCAGGCCCCATGGAGAGACCACATGTAGGGATTCTGGCTAACAGCCTCAGCTGAGGTCCCAGCTGACAGCCAGCATCAGCCTACAGCCACAGGAGTAAGGCAGACTCTGAAGAATCCAGCCAGCTCTCATCTGACTGTAATCACAGGAGAAATCGCAGCAAGAACAATCAGCTGAGCTTGGTAAAAGCCTAGAACCATGAGAGAGAAAGACAAATGACTGCTCTGTTACACTGCCAAGTTTGGGGTGGTTTGTTGCCCAGCAACAGGTAACCAGAATGCTGTCCATCTCCATACATTATGAGCCTAACTGCCCTTTGTGGCCCAGCTCATTAGCCTGTCACCTCCCATGTAAGCCTTCGCTAATCCCCACAATGGAGTCCTCTCCCTCTCTGAACTCCCGGTGCTCTTCCTGTACCGGTCTCCTCTCCCACATCTGGGTGCACACTTAATCTCTCCCCTCCCTGTAAAATCTCCATTCATATCTCTCGGCACCTAGCCCAATGCTTGGCACATAGTGGGTGCTGAATACAGGCTTTCTCTGTCTGGATGCGTGAAGGATATGGAAAGGGATCTTGGGGAGAGAACACCTACCAGTGGAGAAGAGAGGGTCCTGAGTTGCAAAACAGTTTCCATGGCTTTCAAAGGCCTTTTTCTCTGACTAGTGTCCTAGGACATTTTTGGCTTCTCTGCTAAGAATGTAGGATCATGAGTTAGAGTCAAAAGGATTTATTAACAAGTATCAAGTGGTCAGAGGTGTTTGAGCCAGAGCAACTCCATCTTGTGTAGGGAATGGGTAAAATGAGGCTGAGACCTACTGGGCTGCATTCCCAGACGGTTAAGGCATTCTAAGTCACAGGATGAGATAGGAGGTTGGCACAAGATACACATCATAAAGACCTTGTTGATAAAACAGGCTGCAGTAAAGAAGAGGGCCACAACGCACCAAAACCAAGATGGTGACGAGAGTGACCTCTGGTCATCCTCATTGCTACACTCCTACCAGTGCCATGACAGTTTACAAATGCCATGGCAACATCAGGAAGTTACTTTATATGGTTTAAAAGGGGAGGCATGAATAATCCACCCCTTGTTTAGCACATAATCAAGAAATAAGCATAAAAATGGGCAACCAGCAGCCTTCAGGTCTGCTCTGTCTACGGAGTAGCCGTTCTTTCATTCCTTTACTTTCTTAATAAACTTGCTTTCACTTTACTCTATGGACTTGCCCTGAATTCCTTCTTGCGTGAGATACAAGAACGCTCTCTTGGGGTCTGGATTGGGACCCCCTTCCTGTAACAAAGTGCTTCTTGGAAAGAAAGGATTGTCCAAGCTGAGGGTTTTCTTAAGATTACAGTGTATGGCCACTTGGGGGAGCTGAGGCGCTGCGAAGTGTCTTTCACAAGTTCACCAGCAGGTGGCAAGCTTATTCGTGGTTTCTTGCAACTGGTTTTATCCACGCACACATTCATAAAATACTGAGCACCTACTCCATGTAAGGCTCTGTGTGAGCTACAAAGGAGGGTAAGCTACAATTCCTGCCCTCCAAGACCTTCCAGTTTGGTGAACTCAATGTTTCTTTTTTATTATTATTATTATTATTATTATTATTATTATTATTATTATTATTTTGAGACTGAGTCTCGCTCTGCCGTCCAGACTGCAGTGCAGTGGTGCGATCTCGGCTCACTGCAAGTTCCGCCTCCCAGGTTCACGCCATTCTCCTGCCTCAGCCTCCCGAGTAGCTGGGATCACAGGCGCCCGCCACCTCGCCCGGCTAGTTTTTCGTATTTTTAGTAGAGACAGGGTTTCACCGTGTTAGCCAGGATGGTCTCCATCTCCTGACCTCGTGATTCACCTGCGTCGGCCTCCCTAAGTGCTAGGATTACAGGCGGGAGCCACCGCGCCCGGCCAACTCGATGTTTCTTTAGCTTGTCTTTGGGTTGAAATAGTTCTTCAAAAGTCATCCAATGCTTTCTTCTGTCAGTGTAATTTAATATAATCGACCCTGATGGAAGACAGGTGTCAAGAGTCTTGCCAAGGCCGGGCGCGGTGGCTCACGCTTGTAATCCCAGCACTTTGGGAGGCTGAGGTGGGCGGATCACCTGAGGCCAGGAGTTTGAGACCAGCCTGGCCAACGTGGTGAAACCCCATGTTGGGGGGGTTTCTACTAAAAATACAAAAATTAACTGGGTGTGGTGGTGCATGCCTGTAGTCCCAGGCTGGGAGGCTGAGGCAGGAGAATCGCTTGACCCCGGGAGGTGGAGATTGCAGTAAGCATAGATCGCACCACTGCACTCCAGCCTGGGCAACAGGCCGAGACTCTGTCTCAAAAAAAAAAAAAAAAAAAGTTTTGCTGAAAGTCTGGTTATTTTCAGTCTACTTCACTGCTTTAAGTAGATAGGCCAGGTGATCATAGATAAGATCAGAGCAGTGAAGGTGGTGTGGCTAGAGTCCAGGAGAACAGGGAGAAAGAGATTTTTTAAAGCAGGAGGAAAGCAAACTGATTGGGAGATTAGGAGCTGGCGTGATTGGAACTGGGCCTGTCAGAAAAGCCTATCCTGAGCCTTCAGCCAGCTCCCTGTGCCTGCACTTCCCTAGAGCATGTCAGGCTCAGAATAGTGGAGCCATGCACAGCCAGCTGCCCAGGAGCTCCCTGCTGCCTGCTCCCGCCCTGAGTCCCCAGCTCCTCCTGCTTTCCCCTCCCCACACTTTGGCTGTGAGAGTCACTCCACAGTTTTGCCTGTTTGGGACAGAGGCAGTGGCTGCAGAGGGAGGAGGAGGGGAGTGACCTTACATCAAGTTCAGGCCAAGGGGAGGGGAAGAGGAAGTGGTCATTTAAAAACCTATCTAGACTGTTTCATAGTGTCCTTAAGGACCCAACCCTGAGCCACTCCAGTGCATTTCTGAATCACCTTTCAAGCTCCCCTAGAACATTCTTTGTGCTTCACAGTGTAAATTTCAGCTTGAAAATCAGAAGAGGTTTCTGGATCAGGAACCCCCTGGAGTTTTTATTTTGTTCCTTTCTAGATGGATTTCCCCTTTTCTTGCCTCCAAGCATTTTATTTTTACAACATGTATACACTGCCTTTTCCGATTTTCATTTGCTTCTGGCTGCCAAGCTCATTTCTCCAGCACACCCTGGGAGATTCTAGGAAACCTCCTCAGAAAACATGAATACAGGGACTGAAAGCAAATGCTGGGCCTTATTCCACAAGCCCCCTTTGACTTGCCTCATCATAGCCTAGGCACAGCAGAACAGCGCCAGAGCCAGGGAGAGCCTTGCAGATCACCTACATGGGTAGGCGGGCCTAGTCATATTCCCAGGGGCCCACAGAGATACTACCACCAAGCACGACACATTTCCTAGGAACTCCATTTCTCTGAACAGTCAGTAATTTTTATTTTTATTTATTCGTTCATTTACTTTTTGAGACAGGGTCTCACTTTATCACCCAGGCTGGAGTATAGTGGCATGATCTCGGCTCACTGCAACCTCTGCCTCCTGGGCTCGAGCAATCCTCCCACCTCAGCCTCCCTAGTAGCTGGGACTACAGGCATGCCGCACGTCCAGCTAATTTTTGTATATTTTGTAGAGATGGGGTTTTACTGTGTTGCCAAACTTGTTCTTAAACTCCTGGACTCAAATGATCCACTTGCCTTGGCCTTCTAGAGGGTTGGGATTACAGGTGTGAGCCACCGTGCCTGGCCAGTGAGTCATTTCAAACATTATCTTTTTATGAAGACAAATACAGTTATGTGCCAAGGAGAATGCAAAATTCAAATACATTTTTACAATAAACCCCAAGACTTCAAGGACTGGGAATGGACTGATTCTGACAACACTGTGGTTATCACATCCACTTCTTTGCTGTCAGAGGTACCTCAGTGGAAATTTTTGAGAATACTGAGTTAGTCCAAACTCCCATTTTACCCATGAGGAAAGCTGAGGTCTAGGCCATGGTCACACAACTACTAAGTTACTGCCGTAAGCCCTGGTCTCCTCACATGCAAATCAGGGGGTAAAAATAGTCCTTACTTCATACAGCTACTACAAAGATTAAAGGGGACAATTGTGTAAAGTACCTGACAGGTAGTAAATGCTTAATAATTATAATTATTCCTCATTATCAACAGTATTTTATTTGATTTTTGTTTTTTTGAGACACAGTTTCACTCTGCCACCCAGGCTGGAGTGTAGTGGCTGGATCTCAGCTCACTGCAACCTCTGCCTCGCGGGTTCAAGCAATTCTCTTGTCTCAGCTTCCACAATAGCTGGGATTACAGGCACATGCCACCATGCCTGGCTAACTTTTGTATTTTTAGTAGAGATGGGGTTTCACCATGTTGATCAGGCTGGTCTTGAACTCCTGACCTCAAGTGATCCACTGGCCTTGGCCTCCCAAAGTACTGGGATTAAGGCATGAGCCACTGCGCCAGGCTATCAATAGTATTTTAAACCATAGATGACCGAGACTCTAAATCATAGAGCTGAGACTCAAAATGCAAGTTTAGGGCTGGATCTTTTTTTTTTTTTTTGATGGAGTCTTGCTCTGTTGCCCAGGCTGGAGTGCAGTGCTGCAATCCTGGCTTGCTGCAACCTCTGCCTCCCGGGTTCAAGCAATTCTCTGCCTCAGCCTCCCAAGTAGCTGGGATTACAGGTGGCCGCCACCACACCTGGCTAATTTTTGTATTTTTAGTAGAGACGGGGTTTCACCATCTTGGCCAGGCTGGTCTTGAACTCCTGACCTCGTGATCCACCTGCCTCGGCCTTCCAAAGTGCTGGGATTACAGGCATGAGCCACCGCGCCCACCTTGGGGCTGGATCCTTTAAAGCATAGCTGTCCCTGGTGATCTAAGGGGTCTTGCTTTACGCTGGGGTCCATTTCAGCTATGATATGGCTTTGAATATCCCATGGGAAGTGTGAACACTGATGTCTGTAGAAAAACATTCTCCTCTGTGCAGTGAGGTCTTTACTCTCTGAGCCTTCATATCCCCCAAATTTATTTATTTAGCTCTACAAAATCCTCAATCCCTTCAAGAAGAACTTGGGGAACATGTCACACATTTTCTAGGATGTGGGGAAGAGAAATACCAAATGGTTTGGTATAAAAGGGATTTGTTTCCTTTAGTAAGAAGTACCAAATAAATGCCATAACCTGCCATCCCTTGCCTTTCTTGACTCCTTTCATGTTATTTTCTTTTGAGACAGGGTCTCACTGTTGCCCAGACTGTGGCAGGAACAGCCTTCACCTCCTGGGCCTAAGCAATGCTCCCACCTCAACCTCCCACATAGCTGGGACTACAGGTATGCACGACCATGTCCAGATAAATTTTGTACTTTTTTTTTTTTGTAGAGATGGGGTTTCACCCAGGTTGGTCTCCAGCTCCTGGGCTCAAGTGATCCACCTGCCTCACCCTCCCAAAGTGCTGGGGTTACAGGTGTGAGCCACCATGCCTGCCTGGCGACTCCATTCATTTTCTTCCCCAGGCATCTCCACACTTTCCAGGTGTGAAGATGCCTGGGGAAGGCTCCCGAGGGTACTTCCTCCTTGAAGCTCTCTCTCCCTTGGCCTCCATGCCATGAGTTTCTCCTATATCCTTCATCATTCCTTCTCAGTTTCCTCTGTGGGCTCTCGGTCACCCTCAAAGGGCATTTCTTGGGGTTCTGAGCCTGCTCCTTTTTATAAGCTCTCTCTTGACTGAAGACCCCAAAATCTCTTTCACCAGCCCTGACCCCTCTTTTGTTCTGTGTTCAATTGTCCACTGGACAGTTTCACTTGGATGTTCCACAAGCATCTCAAATCCAACGAAACTAAGTTCGTTATCCCTTCTTGCCCCTTAATCTGCAGCTGGTTCTGAATTCCCTAACTTGGTGAGTTGCCCAGCCTAGAAACAAGGAGGCATCCCTGACTCCTCCCTCCCTTTCTGCTGCACCCCACCCTCAGAAGAAAATTGCTTATCAAGTCTGGCAGATTCTGCCTCCTCAACAACCCTCAAATCCATCCCTCACTTTCCATCCTCAGGGCTACGGCCAGTCATCACCCCTTCCTTAGATTATTGCAATAATCTTCTGGTAGGTGCTCCTGGCTCTCCTCTCACCTCAAAGGGAGTCATCGCCATCTTCCTAGAATGTTTTTCAAACTGACCATGTCGTTTCCCTACTTAAGGTCCTTCAATATTCCCACTGCTCTCAGGACAGTCCACTCGCTTCAAGTGGTGTGTAATGTCCGCCATATTCTTCTGGTCTCTGCCTACCCAACAGCTCCATCTCTCTCAGAATCCTGTCTTTCATCTCAGACCTCAGCTTGGCTGATAAACTTGCCATTCTCTGGTTGAACAATGCTGTTCCAAGATCTTGCCCCTTCTTCTTGCTTCCTGGACAGCTCTTAATCATCTTTCCTGACCCCAGGCTCTCCCCCAGGGAAAAAGAATTAAGCATTCATCCTTTGTTACTCACTGTCCCCTATACCCCTTCCTTCATGCCCCTGAAAGACTTTGAGGCCCTGATATTAGTTTACCCATTAGATGAGTAAACTTCTTGAGGTCAGGATCCAAGTTATAGTCTTCCTTATATTCCTAGAACCTAGAGACCAGCACAGAGTGGGGCTCCAATAAATGTCTGCTGAGTGAATGGGTGGATGGATACATGGATGAACAGGTGGATGGATGGATGGATGGACAGACAGATGGGTGAACAAGTGGATGGATGGGTGAATGAATGAATGGATGGATGGACAGATGGATGGAAGGATGGACAAGAAGATCTCTGGTCCAGACTGGATCTCTAAGCTCTCTGGCATGATGGGCAGAACTAAGTCAGCCACATTCCCTTACACTTTCATCAACCTCACACTCAGGTCCCCCTCCCTTGGGATCAATGTGGAAAAGAAAGGTTTCACCACAGGAGAGGAGAATGAAGATGTAGCATCAGGATGCTGATGAGGGAGGAAAGAGAAGAAAAAATGCCAGAGGAAGAGGCAGAGAAAGTTGGAAACTGGAGGTCAGGGACCCTACTTCCTGCTGTAACAGGCCCCACTTCATCCCCAGCAGCCATCAAATACCAACCCAGAGGTGTTGGGAAATGGAGTGCACAGAGAGGACATAAAGATACTGAAAAGGTTAGACATTTGTGAGAGTCCTGAGAAGCAGGCAAACCCCTAAGTGTGTCAAGACTCCTTCTAGAACCCCCAGCAGATAATCTCTTGGTGATGAGCTCTGACTGCATTGTCTCTGCAGATGTGGGTGCTGCTGGCTCGCTGGGACCAGTCTAGACATGGTTATATAAATAAGGTCAGCCAGAATGAGAACCTCTGCCTTAAGGATGTCCCAAGTATTGAAGATGTTTACTGGTTTTTCTGTGATTTCAACATCAGGCTTGTGCCTGTTTGCATAGTGGGTAACCCCAGCATCACCTTTGACTCAACTCATTCCCAGAGCCCTTCCTCATCCCTCAAGTCTTCTTTATCTTCAAACGTGCTATCTAAGACCAAGCCCAAGTAACTGGCAGCAGGCTGGGAGAACAATATAATCAGAAGGTGTGAGGTTCTGGAAAAACACCAGACAAGGCAGGTCCCACTTGGCTTGCTTTATCTGTAGCTCTGCATAGACAGCTCCTAAGACATGTGCCCTGATAGTCTTTGGGTGGACAAGCGGGGTGACCATCTGCCCTGGACTGCCTGAGATAGTCCTGTTGCCTTAGTGTAGTTATGAATACTACCACATACCACTTACTATCCAAAGTATTCTGGTTTAGATGACACATTGTACAACCACTCTGTTTACAAGTTGCTTTAAGATCTGGGAGAAATCCAAGTGTGACTGCAGTAACTGCTCTTCTTTTCCTGGATCTACCCTAAAGCCATTTCACAGCACAGGTTGGCATGTCCTCACAGGGAAATTTATAAACAGCCCCACGACTCCAGAGAGGACAAACCCAGACCAAAGAAGGAAATGTAGGAGTTTGCCCTTTTGTAAAATCCTGGGCAAAACTCTGAGGCTCATTTCTCCAAGATACTGAGAATTGAAAGGAGAGGGGGAAATCCCACGGGATCGCCATCTTTGGGCGGAAGCCCTCGGTCTCTGACACTGACGGTAGTTCTGCAGCTTAATGTACTTGTTTAACTATTGTTTGGTCAGTGCAGCCGTGACTAGAAATTCTTCTGGTTGGGTCAGATGAAGATGGCCCAATCTGCAAGAAACACTTGTTGTGTGCTTATAGACATTTTAATCTTGGAGGGCTTTGTTTATAGGATGGACCTGGTCAAAGGAAACATGTTACTTAGGGTTGAAAGCAAGAAAAACCTAGATAAACACTTTTTTTTGTTTGTTTGTTTGAGGCACACTCTTGCTCTGTCGCCCAGGCTGGAGTGCAGGGGTGCAATCTTGGCTCACTGCAACCTCTGCCTCCCAAGTTCAAGTGATCCTTCCACCTCAGCCTCTCGAGTAGCTTGGATTACAGGCACACACCACTATGCCTGGCTAATTTTTAAAAATTTTTTGTAGAAACAGAGTTTAAAATTTTTTTGTACAAAACAGGTTTTTGTAGAAACAGGGTAAACCCAGGTCTCAAACTCCTGGGTTTAAGCAATCTGCCTGCCTCGACCTCCCAAAGTGCTGGGATTACAGGCGTGAGCCACAGTGCCTGGCCAAATACTTCATTTTCTAGATCATAAGATGCTTCACTTTATTCCTGGCAAAAAGTTGATTCAGCAAACCAGGGCTTTAAGTGAAGTCGGTTGGGACCTGAACCCTTGACACCTGCCCAGGGTGGAAGACGTAGCAGCTGCATCTATAGGCCACCTGGGGTGTAGGGTGACCAGCTGCCTAGCAAACCCTCACAGGGCCTCCCCGCAGTGAACTGCTATGGCCATTAGGAGGCTGCAGAAGTTCCTTCTGAGCATGCTCTGGAATACAGTAGAAAGTTACACACAGAGACACCCCACACAACATTCGCAATCACACTGAAGTGTACATCCCAGATCTGAGTGCGGTTTATTTCCCATCACAGTCTGCACCCTGAAAATAATGGAATCCAATCTTAGAGAATAAGACAACACCAGCTCTTGATTTCCTTTGGTCTTAGAAATAAAGTATAACAAGTTCGCAAAAACCTACAAACTACAAGACAGGGCTTTGTTTCCCGAGGCTCTCACTCCTTCTTTACTCCTCCTATTCCTGGAAACATCATTTTCTCTTGCAGATTCTTCATGTTCCCCCAAATCCAAATTCACAAGTTCCCAAAAAGGGCAGTGCTCCTTGCTTGTTGCACCGCAGGACAGAGTGGGGCCGGGAGGAGGAAAAGAAAATGATGCCTCCCTTCACATCTGGCTCTCCTTTCCTACCTAGGCCCTCTTTATCTGCAAAGATGCCAGAGGCTCCTGGGGAGCTCCTTCTCTGTCTAGAACATCGAGTTTCTGGGCTGTTTCCCATTCAGGAAAGGGGTGAGGGCTCTCCTCCTGCCCAGGCAGCAGCTCTGGAGGCTGTGAGCTTCTCTGCCCCCTGAAACGCCTGCACAGGGCACTGAGGAAGGGCTGGGGACTGGGGTGAGGAGTGGGGACAGAATGCCCCCTGGAAACTGCCCCAGGGGCAGCTTGAGTGGCCTGAGCCTGTGTCTGTCCTACTGAAGGTTGGAGCCCCAGAGAAAAGCCTCTGTGGAGGCACCCACTTTTCAGAACTGCTGCTTTTGGGGTAGAACACCTTTTTCCAGGTGTTGTCCTTGGGGTAGCAGGGAAGACTGGGAAAAACTGAGCGGCAAGAGCTGTTGGAGCGGGGAGTTACATTTATTGACTGTCTATTACATGCCGGGTGCTGCTGAAGGTCGCAGGTCCTACAGGATCTCCTTTTAGCCCCTCACATCCCTGTAGATTACAAGTCGCTCGCAGATGACCCTGAACCCAGAGGGGCTGTCTAGGCCCAGGGCCCAGCTAGTGAGTGGAATCGCAGAATCAGATCTGCCTTGGAAGGGTCTGTCTTACCCTGGCGCCCAAAATGTGTCCCTTACCCTCTGCCACCAGGACATGTAAATTTGGGACACCCCTTTCGTTAGGGGCCCAAGTTTATCATAGGTCTAATCTCTAAGGTCACATCTTCGCCTTCTCACCTGACCGACAGGAAACCCCTGAAATGTCCCTCGCACGTGCAAGACGTTTTCCGCGGTGGCGGCGACAGGGCGCACAGTGGGACCGCAGCACAAGCGCGGGGCAACCCCACAGTCGGCGACTCCTGCCCCCGCCCCTGCCGGCCGGGCCGTCCTGGGGCCTGGGAGGGCAGCACCGCCGGGCTTCGCGCCATGACATCAGCCCTGGAGTGGTGCAGTGTGCAAAGCCCACTGGTTGGCGTGGCCCGGGACACGCCTTCCCCGGAGCGGAACAAAACGGCGCGCAGGCCGGGCGCACCCAGCCGCCACTTCCGAGAGCGCCTGCCGCCCGTGCGCCGCCGAGCCAGCTGCCAGGTGAGTGCGCCCTGGGCCACGCGGCTCTGCGCCCCGCGGAGGGGCTCCTGGGCATGCCCTCAGCGCCTCCCGGTCTTGCTCGCTCCGCCGCGGCCCCCGGGGCTGTCGCAGGCGGGAAATTGTGAGAAGTGACCGCAGTTAGCCCGGGCAGTGCTGCTCTTTCCTGGAGGCACTAGGTCCCTCCCCATCCCGGGCCTTCCTGGGCTTCCTGGACACAGTTGGCTTCCGCGTGTCGGTGACCCAGGGCGACCCGGCTACCCCCAACCGCCTGCAGGTCGGGCAGAACAATCGGCGATTCTGCGCGCCACTGACGCTCATTGTATGGCAGAGAGATGAGGGCATCCGTGCCACCCCCTCCCTCACCCTCCTGCTGGGGAGAAAATGCCTGCGGGCGGGGTGGGGCAAACATCTGGCTTCATGGGCTTGACCTTGGACATCTGTGTCCCTGAGCGCAGGTGTGAGTTTTCCCTCTTGCGAAAGAACTGCATGGAAACCTCTCCACTCCAAATCTTGGTGCTAGGTGGTGATGGTTACTGAAACCTGAAAGAGCCTGCAGTCAGTGTTTTCTGGCCTCAGTCCTTGAAAGCTGGGCAGTAAGAAAGGGACTGGTGTTGAGCGCGTTTAAAGCAAATCACAATGTGTTAGCTAACAGTCAGCCCTCTAAGGCAGGTATGTATCTACTAGTACAGACCAGAGAATATTTTGCGTGCTTCTGGTTCTGGTGCTGTTGTGATCTAACCAGGACCCAGGAATTGGCTGGAGCAATAGTGGGCTCAGGCTCTGCCTAGAGCCCTGGGCTCCCGCCACCCACCCTGCTGCTCCCTGAGAGTGAATGAATGGGCAGGCCCTCCCCATGCTGGGATACTGTCACAATGGCACCAAAGAAATCCACTGGGCCCTGGTAGAAAGTGTATCAGTGTATCATGAAGAGGTGGCCTGGAGTCTTGGTGGGGGATTGTTTGGAAGGCAGAGTTTTGACTCAGATTTGCCACTTAACACACAGATTTCCTTGGATAAACTATTTAACTTCTCAATGCCTCAATTTCTTTCAGGGATGCTACTTGGGGAATGTATTACACAGAACCTCCGACACAGGAGTGATGTCAGTTACTGTCTTCTTTCTTGTCCCCCCCTCATCCCTTCCCTTCCTCCCAGAAGCTAAGGAGGCTGAAGGTGCTGCCTGTCTCCCTCTGTCCTCTCAGAGTGCATGTTGGGCATTTTCCCCAGGTGGAATTTGGGGATGGTACTGAGCTTCCCCTGCTCTCACTCAACTGCTGCCTCCTGACTCTCCAGCTGGTTTCTGGCTGGGGAGGCCAGGCTACCTGTTTTGAGAGAGACTGTCCTCAGCCCCCAACTGCTGATTGGCAGCTTTTACCCATTGTTTCCTAAATCCAGCTTCCTCCTGCTCACGGCCTTCCAGTGAATGACCTTTTTGCCTTGGAGAGGATATCCGGGGCAGAGGCAGACGAGGAAGGAAGTTTATCCTGCAGAGGGTGTAGTGTGGGTTAGAGGAGAGGGAGGAGAGAACTGTCTGCAAGGCCTGAGATGCCCGGGATGGAGGGTATGCGGGGGATGCAGGAGAGAAACTAAAGAGAAGGCCCATCAGCTCGGCAACTGGCCTGCTAATAAAATGGGAAAAACAGGGGTGCTGTGTCCTCTTTGCCTCTGGTCTGTCTTAGCACCTTCTTTCCTGGCCCAGGTGTTTGCTCTTTTAATTGTACACATGTGCATCTGCTTCTGGAGCTAGTGAGTCCTGACTGGGCCAGAGTTGCAGCCTGGGAGTGTAGTGACACTTGACGGGGTGATCAGTACATATTTGATGAATGAGTGGGGTAGCAATGGTCTTTTAGCTGAGTTGGCCTGCTGGACACTCATAAACCTTGCAAATAGTTACTAGCCAGTTTTTCCACTTGGGTAGATTGACAAGCAGGTGAGAGAAAAAAAGGCATAGTTTTTTTTGTTGTTGTTGTTTGTTTTGTTTTGTTTTGTTTTGAGGCAGTCTTGCTCTGTCGCCCAGGTTGGAGTACAATGGCGCAACATTGGCTCACTGCAACTTCCGCCTCCTGGGTTCAAGCGGTTCTCCTGCCTCAGCCTTCCAAGTAGCTGGGATTACAGATGTCTGTCAATACACCCAGCTATTTTTTTGTATTTTTAGTAGAGATGGCATTTTGCCATGTTGGCCAGGCTGTTCTTGAACTCCTGACCTCAGGTGATCCACCTGCCTCGGCCTCTCAAAGCATTGGGATTACAGGCATGAGCCATTGTGTCCGGCCTGTTTTTTTTTTTTTTTAAGAGACAGCCTCTCACTATATTGGCCAGTCTGGTCTCGAACTCCTGGCCTCAAGTGATCCCCTCCCTGTCCCCACCACCACCTCAGCCTCCCAAAGTGCTGGGATTAAGGCATGACCCACTGTGCCTGGCAACATAGTTTTTATTCACTGACCGTCTCCCAGTGGGGGAAGCAAATTGGGAAGGCTTTTCTGGCAGGTTGCTAAAGCTTTAAATATTTATGTAAGCCTAGCTTATTGTGAAACGTTGGCTGGCTAGATGAAGACACATGGGTTAAATATTTTGGGATCCAAAGAGGTGCTAGTGAGAATAAAAAGACTTTTTCCTCCAAGTCAGCCATTTGGCATTACTCAAGCATATTGTCAAAAATCAAAAGAGACACAAAACTGAACAATAGGTATTAGAGTTGGTGTGTCCTTAAGATAAGGATAACCAGATATCTGCACTTGCAGTGTACCAGACAGTGTGAGAAATACTTCACATGTGTTATCTTGGACAATTTATGAAGTAGCTACTGATGCTCTCCATTTTACAAATGGAGAAACTGAGGCTCAGAGGTAGTAAGAAACTTGCTCAGGATCACAGCTGATCAGTTTTGAAGCTGCCATTCCCACATAAGCTGATTGTTTCCAGAACGTATGCTCAGTCACTACCCTATTATTTTTCTTTGCTCCTCTACATTTCCTTTTTCCAGATCAACTCACTAAGGAAATATCTGCCATTTGTGAAACACATCAGCTTTACAAGTTGCTTTACAGTGGCTTATAAACTATTTAAGGAAGATATCTTTCACTTGGATGGGTCAGGGTTAGAACTCCTGACCTCTGGGTTTTCAGTCTGTTGCATGGCCAGGTAGGAGCAGAGGGGACCCCTGAGAGTTAGTTGCCAGCCACCAATGGATATGCTTTCACCACCTCTGCATGTTGAGTTTCAGAGCCAGGTTTGCAGAAAGAAAAGAAGCCTGGAAAAGAGCCTGTTTGAGAAAGAGAGAGAGCTAGTAAAACTTGAGGGGAGGGCAGAGAAGGTGAGGTGGAGGGGTCCTGGGTTCTGACTGCTGTTTCCAGTTGTCAAGAATTTATATGGTAATGACGTGCCTGTACTACGCAGCTCCCCAGGAATGTGTCTGACGCCAGCACTGAGTAATTCCCATGTATGGTAAAGTGTGTAAATACGGGGGCAGCTAGCATTTCCAGACTCTGGTATTTCCAGTGCTTCCCCAGGGCCAGAAGGCAGTGTCTGAGTCTTCAGCAGTGACAACAGAGGAAGAACTGGAAGGTTAGCAGCTGGAGCTCAGCCCCAGCTAGGCTGCCAGCACCCCCTACCCCCAACTGTGTGCCTGGCTTTCTTTATGTGTGTGTGGGGGTGTGTGGGTTGGTGCTTCCTGGGATGTCAACTGCAAACAACCTGTGTTTATAAGGCCTAAGTGCTAATTTGCTTTAACTTTTTAAAAATTAAAGAAAAATCATTCACACTATCTTGTTCAGCATGGAATAACCAACATCATTCCAGATCTGGATAAAAATAAGGAAACCCCATCTGTTGATTTGTCTGTGAGGCTTTATTATAATACAGGATTTCCTGTAGAAGTTTTAAAATACTACAAAGAAGTCAACGACCTCCATTTCTACCTGTGTTGACCTTCAGACTTCTTTTTTTTGAGACAGTTTCACTCTTGTCCCCCAGGCTGGAGTACAGTGGCACGATCTTGGCTCACTGCAACCTCTGCCTCCCGGGTTCAAGCGATTCTCCTGCCTCAGCCTCCCGAGTAGCTGGGATTACAGGTGTGTGCCACCACACTCGACTAATTTTTTTTTTTTTTTTTTAGTAGAGATGGGGTTTCATGCTGTTGGCCAGGCTGGTCTCGAACTTCTGACTTCAAGTGATATGCCCACCTCAGCCTCCCCCAGTGTTAGGATTACAGGAATGAGCCACTGAACCCTGCAAACTTCTGAGCTCCAAGAGTAGGGAGCTCTGCTCTAGAAGGCATCGGGGGCAAGTGGGGAAAGGGAGAGATATACACCATCCTTGTCAGCTCACAGTCTCACAAGAGCCACTGGACATGGATTTGAAAAGAGAAAAGTCATACAATAGAGAGAAGGATCCCTGCGCTAGAATGACAGTCAAGTTCTGGAGTCCCATAGGGCCTGGAGTGATGGTAGCTCAGTGATGCTGGTTACTTTCTCAGAGAGGCGGGTCATGTGCAGGGTTCTGAAGGAAACATGAGGTGGGATATGCAAAGCTGAGGCCATGCCTGCCCCATCTGCATGGCAGCCATTCTCCCCCTACCCGGGACCCGGACCTTCAGGAGAGGCTGATTTCCTGAGCTCTTAGGTGTCACCTCTAAGACTTGGCTCTGAGCCCTGACCAGCGGGGCCCCCTCGTTCCCTCTCTACCCTCAGCTGCTCTCTGGACACTGGGGTGTGGAGGCAAAAGCTGAGCTACAGATTGGAAGGGATGCCAGCCCTCCTGTCCACCTGGCAGATACTAAGCAGCTCAGCTAATGCGAGGGAACTAGATAAACATCTGACAGGTTTCTACTGGAGCAAGTGGGTGGGGACTTTGGCCCTGTGCCGTCAGTCTCTCTTTTGCCCTAGGGAATAAGTGATTTTGGAATGGGAGAGATGGGATTTTTCCACTGGAGAAATAAAGATATGGGATGGTTTTGAAGGGTTTGATAAGAAGGGGCTTGCCTTCAGACACTGGTGGCTGGCAGTTAGGGATTTTACATCTCTGTGATGGTTCCTTCAACCTGTCACCTGAGCTGGACTTTTCTTCTTTTCTTTTCTTTTCTTTTCTTTTTTCTTTTCTGTTTTCTTTTCTTTTCTTTTCAACTCTATTGCCCAGGCTGGAGTGCAGTGGTGCAATCTCTGCTCACTACAACATCCATCTCCTGGATTCAAGCAATTCTCATGCCTCAGCCTCTTGAGTAGCTGGGATTATAGGTGCCCACCATCATACCTGGCTAATTTTTGTATTTTTATTAGAGACGGGGTTTTACCATGTTGGCCAGGCTGGTCTCGAACTCCTGACCTCAAGTGATCCGCCTGCCTTGGCCTCCCAAAGTGCAAGGATTACAGGCATGAGCCACCACACCCAGCCAAGCCTGACTTTCATGAGATT